GTTTTCCCAAGCAGACCATTAGGGTTACTCATGGTTTGGTTTCCTTGTCTAGTTTTCATCTACTGATCATACCTTTGGCCATACAAGGGGTGCACTGATAAAAGTCTGTAGTGTGGCAAGCCTTGAAAAGCATATGGATGACAGAGTCTGGTAGATCTCTGTCTCTCAAGGTCTGGGCTATCACAGTCAAGTTGTTAAAGTCAGCATCTGAGAAGCAGGATAGTAAATCAGTCATTGAGACAGAAGGTCAGGACAATCCAGGAGGGCCTACAGCAGGGGCGCCCATTAGGTCGATTGTGATCTACCGGTCGATCGCAAAGCGAACACTGGTAGATCGCGATCGGCTCACTGACCTGTGTTCTGTCATCCCACGGTGCTCGTGCGGCTGAATTCGTCAAGACGCCATAGGCGGGATACCTCTCCCAGTCTGCACATTTGGCCACACGAGCACCACGGAAGGACCGGACACCACACCTCAGAGGAGACCCAGTAAGCTGCTGGAGTGCATGTAAGAAAAGACAGCCAGAAGAGAGCAGAGAAGAGAGCAGAGAAGAGAGATAGCAGAGCGAGAGAGAAGAGAGACAGCCAAGAGCGAGAGAAGAGACAGCCAAGAGAGGGCCAGTTCACACCACAAAGTCTGCGTTCCAGAGCGTTCGGCCTCTGCAATGCAAGCCGACCGGCTCCCTGTGGGAGGTGCGTGGTGCTGCATTGAGGTCAATGTCAAAGCTGCCAAGACCCCTGCCCACCGTGCAATCGCCCGCACCTGGGATGCAGGCACATCAGTGCTTGCGTTCCATTCCAGTGCAACCAGAAAAAATCATGCTTGCAGCATTTTTGCAGATCGCACTGGACCGGAACGCAGGCACTGATGTGCCTGCGTTCCAGGTGCGGGTGATAAACGGCGTGCAAGGGGCATGGCTGTGGTGCCACTGACTTCAATGCACCGCCACGCCCCTGAACGCAGGGAAAAGGCAGGCTTGCATTCCAGAGCGTTCGGCTTTTGTGGTTTGAACCGGCCCAGAGAGAGAGGCAGTAGTCCCAGTAGCGATTTTAATGTGCTTGTTTTCTAAATAATGGTGTTTTTTCGCTGGTCGATCTCATTGAGCTCGTCATTTGAAAAGTAGATCTCCAGAGGAAAAAATTTGGGCACCCCTGGCCTACAGAGAGCCCACCAGGAGCCTGACCTCATCACCCTAAGGCATTAATCAGGTTGAACAGAGAATTCCCGGGCCTGGCAACAAACCTGTCAAGGTAGTGGGAGGGTAACTAAGTGCAGACACTGGACCATACAAAACTGATACCAGGCTAACTACAGGAATTCAGACTTTACATATAATAAGTCTCTTCTATGGGAGTGAGAGAAAAACGTCATCATGTCCTGAACTGTAATAATTACCTTGGATTTCTCATCATCATCAAAAATAGCATTCTTAGGTCTTGGTGGAAGAGGTGGTATCATTGCTTCTTCTGGCAATTTGGGGTCTTCCTTTAAAATCCCTAAAAAGAAAAAGATGGTGACATGGCGTCTTGTCAGGGGGCTGAACTCAGAGTGCCATTATTATTTATCAGCTGACCTTGTTTCTTCAGCATCTGGTAGGCCTCTGCAATCTTCACTTCATTGGGGAGCCCCAATGTCCAACTGTACAGCAACTCCAAAATCTTCTGCTTCACTCTTTCTGGAGAGCGTGTACCGAGGTACTGAGGAGAAACAGAGGATCATCATCACAATGACTGAGGAATAACAGAGGACCACCATCACAATGACTGAGGAATAACAGAGGACCATCATCACAATAACTGAGGAATAACAGGAGGACCACCATCACAATGACTGAGGAATAACAGAGGACCACCATCACAATGACTGAGGAATAACAGAGGACCACCATCACAATGACTGAGGAATAACAGAGGACCACCATCACAATGACTGAGGAATAACAGAGGACCACCATCACAAGGACTGGACTAAGGAAACTGTAAAAACTTCTTTTGGCATTTTAATCCCAAACTGTACAGCTGACAACACGCAGCTTCAAAGAGGACTTGGACAAGTACAAGAGTACAAGAGAGGGAAGATCAAAGGCAGGAGCTGTTTTGTGGAGGTGATGAAGAGACCACCAGCATCCATTGGGCAGGTGGTGAAGAGACCTCCAGCAGCCATTGGGCAGGTGGTGAAGAGACCTCCAGCAGCCATTGGGCAGGTGGTGAAGAGACCTCCAGCAGCCATTGGGCAGGTGGTGAAGAGACCTCCAGCAGCCATTGGGCAGGTGGTGAAGAGACCTCCAGCAGCCATTGGGCAGGTGATGAAGAGACCTCCAGCAGCCATTGGGCAGGTGGTGAAGAGACCTCCAGCAGCCATTGGGCAGGTGGTGAAGAGACCTCCAGCAGCCATTGGGCAGGTGGTGAAGAGACCTCCAGCAGCCATTGGGCAGGTGGTGAAGAGACCTCCAGCAGCCATTGGGCAGGTGGTGAAGAGACCTCCAGCAGCCATTGGGCAGGTGGTGAAGAGACCTCCAGCAGCCATTGGGCAGGTGATGAAGAGACCTCCAGCAGCCATTGGGCAGGTGGTGAAGAGACCTCCAGCAGCCATTGGGCAGGTGGTGAAGAGACCTCCAGCAGCCATTGGGCAGGTGATGAAGAGACCTCCAGCAGCCATTGGGCAGGTGGTGAAGAGACCTCCAGCAGCCATTGGGCAGGTGGTGAAGAGACCTCCAGCAGCCATTGGGCAGGTGGTGAAGAGACCTCCAGCAGCCATTGGGCAGGTGGTGAAGAGACCTCCAGCAGCCATTGGGCAGGTGATGAAGAGACCTCCAGCAGCCATTGGGCAGGTGGTGAAGAGACCTCCAGCAGCCATTGGGCAGGTGGTGAAGAGACCTCCAGCAGCCATTGGGCAGGTGGTGAAGAGACCTCCAGCAGCCATTGGGCAGGTGGTGAAGAGACCTCCAGCAGCCATTGGGCAGGTGGTGAAGAGACCTCCAGCAGCCATTGGGCAGGTGGTGAAGAGACCTCCAGCAGCCATTGGGCAGGTGATGAAGAGACCTCCAGCAGCCATTGGGCAGGTGGTGAAGAGACCTCCAGCAGCCATTGGGCAGGTGGTGAAGAGACCTCCAGCAGCCATTGGGCAGGTGATGAAGAGACCTCCAGCAGCCATTGGGCAGGTGGTGAAGAGACCTCCAGCAGCCATTGGGCAGGTGGTGAAGAGACCTCCAGCAGCCATTGGGCAGGTGGTGAAGAGACCTCCAGCAGCCATTGGGCAGGTGGTGAAGAGACCTCCAGCAGCCATTGGGCAGGTGATGAAGAGACCTCCAGCAGCCATTGGGCAGGTGGTGAAGAGACCTCCAGCAGCCATTGGGCAGGTGGTGAAGAGACCTCCAGCAGCCATTGGGCAGGTGGTGAAGAGACCTCCAGCAGCCATTGGGCAGGTGGTGAAGAGACCTCCAGCAGCCATTGGGCAGGTGGTGAAGAGACCTCCAGCAGCCATTGGGCAGGTGGTGAAGAGACCTCCAGCAGCCATTGGGCAGGTGATGAAGAGACCTCCAGCAGCCATTGGGCAGGTGGTGAAGAGACCTCCAGCAGCCATTGGGCAGGTGGTGAAGAGACCTCCAGCAGCCATTGGGCAGGTGATGAAGAGACCTCCAGCAGCCATTGGGCAGGTGGTGAAGAGACCTCCAGCAGCCATTGGGCAGGTGGTGAAGAGACCTCCAGCAGCCATTGGGCAGGTGGTGAAGAGACCTCCAGCAGCCATTGGGCAGGTGGTGAAGAGACCTCCAGCAGCCATTGGGCAGGTGATGAAGAGACCTCCAGCAGCCATTGGGCAGGTGGTGAAGAGACCTCCAGCAGCCATTGGGCAGGTGGTGAAGAGACCTCCAGCAGCCATTGGGCAGGTGGTGAAGAGACCTCCAGCAGCCATTGGGCAGGTGGTGAAGAGACCTCCAGCAGCCATTGGGCAGGTGGTGAAGAGACCTCCAGCAGCCATTGGGCAGGTGGTGAAGAGACCTCCAGCAGCCATTGGGCAGGTGATGAAGAGACCTCCAGCAGCCATTGGGCAGGTGGTGAAGAGACCTCCAGCAGCCATTGGGCAGGTGGTGAAGAGACCTCCAGCAGCCATTGGGCAGGTGATGAAGAGACCTCCAGCAGCCATTGGGCAGGTGGTGAAGAGACCTCCAGCAGCCATTGGGCAGGTGGTGAAGAGACCTCCAGCAGCCATTGGGCAGGTGGTGAAGAGACCTCCAGCAGCCATTGGGCAGGTGGTGAAGAGACCTCCAGCAGCCATTGGGCAGGTGATGAAGAGACCTCCAGCAGCCATTGGGCAGGTGGTGAAGAGACCTCCAGCAGCCATTGGGCAGGTGATGAAGAGACCTCCAGCAGCCATTGGGCAGGTGGTGAAGAGACCTCCAGCAGCCATTGGGCAGGTGGTGAAGAGACCTCCAGCAGCCATTGGGCAGGTGATGAAGAGACCTCCAGCAGCCATTGGGCAGGTGGTGAAGAGACCTCCAGCAGCCATTGGGCAGGTGGTGAAGAGACCTCCAGCAGCCATTGGGCAGGTGGTGAAGAGACCTCCAGCAGCCATTGGGCAGGTGGTGAAGAGACCTCCAGCAGCCATTGGGCAGGTGATGAAGAGACCTCCAGCAGCCATTGGGCAGGTGGTGAAGAGACCTCCAGCAGCCATTGGGCAGGTGGTGAAGAGACCTCCAGCAGCCATTGGGCAGGTGGTGAAGAGACCTCCAGCAGCCATTGGGCAGGTGGTGAAGAGACCTCCAGCAGCCATTGGGCAGGTGGTGAAGAGACCTCCAGCAGCCATTGGGCAGGTGGTGAAGAGACCTCCAGCAGCCATTGGGCAGGTGGTGAAGAGACCTCCAGCAGCCATTGGGCAGGTGGTGAAGAGACCTCCAGCAGCCATTGGGCAGGTGGTGAAGAGACCTCCAGCAGCCATTGGGCAGGTGATTAATGAGCAGTCAGGGTTTTCTAGTAATCTCCCCCCTGAAACCTACAGCTGAGAAATGAATTTGTATTTGTCTGGGCCATATCCTCACATGAAAACCTGGAAGAGAGATGCACCATTCTCACCTTTGGAGAAACTACTTTAATCAGCTCATTAAGGAACCGAAATTTTCCAACCTCACTGTGAAACCTTTTCCCGCAATTTTTCATGCATGCTTCCAGAACCTGAAAAAGATGGTAAAATTGGACCCCAAGAAATCAGTAAAATAAATTCTCCAGATTTTTGTGTTCTATTGACACTGAATGTAAATTTTGTATAAATAGACCCCTTAGTGTGGAGGTCGGCAATTCGTGCAGCCCACCCATCAATCACAGATAAGTATTAGGTACATTGCAACCCCATCATGCCACCAACTATTGACCAGGGTTAGGGTTAGGTCCAGAATCTGATCCGGCCAACCTGCCGAGTCTCGGGATACTGTATCCTAGTAAAGTAATGGCCGTGTGGTGTCCCACCCTGCCAGCGCACCACATTGGCAGGCAGCTCTCAGATCAGTGTTTCATTTTGGCTGGCAGCATTTTCTTGGTGACTAAAAATGACTCTGAAGGATTGTTGAGTGTTTCGGGCTGATGAGTGTGTGGGACTCCTTTACCCCCCTTGAGGCCCACACAGACAGCTGTGAGCTCAGTGTATGACAAAGGCAGAAAGAGGCTAGAAAATGCTGCTACCTGTAGTGCCTTTTATAGTGCCTCTTAGTACCGACCCCGGCACTCTGCGTCCCCTACTACCGTCCCCGGCACTCTGCGTCCCCTACTACCGACCCCGGCACTCTGCGTCCCCTACTACCGACCCCGGCACTCTGCGTCCCCTACTACCGACCCCGCCACTCTCCGTCCCCTACTACCGACCCCGGCACTCTGCGTCCCCTACTACCGACCCCGGCACTCTGCGTCCCCTACTACCGACCCCGGCACTCTGCGTCCCCTACTACCGACCCCGGCACTCTGCGTCCCCTACTACCGACCCCGGCACTCTGCGTCCCCTACTACCGACCCCGGCACTCTGCGTCACTACCGACCCCGGCACTCTGCGTCACTTACTACCGACCCCGGCACCTCTGCATTACCTATCACTGAGTTCTGAACTCATTCATTATTACTGACACCTGCACCCTGCGTTAACTACTCCGGACACCTGCACCCTGTGTTACATACTCCTGACACCTGCACCCTGTGTTACATACTCCTGACACCTGCACCCTGTGTTACATACTCCTGACACCTGCACCCTGTGTTACATACTCCTGACACCTGCACCCTGTGTTACATACTCCTGACACCTGCACCCTGTGTTACATACTCCGGACACCTGTACCCTGTGTTACATAGTCCTGACACCTGCACCCTGCGTTACATAGTCCTGACACCTGCACCCTGCGTTACATACTCCGGACACCTGCACCCTGCGTTACATACTCCTGACACCTGCACCCTGCGTTACATACTCCTGACACCTGCACCCTGTAGTTCTCCTTTAAGAAATGATGCGTGCTGTTGATCCGTCTCTTCAGGGTTTTCTACCCCTTATTTTTAATGATTTGGTGTATTGGATCCATTTATTTTTGTATCATATTAGAAGAGTGATGTGTGATTAGTAGGCGGGGCTATCAGTCTGGAGTTTGGGTTAAAGGATGTGGTTATCACTCCGGGTGTTGTGCAATGTTCCCCTCGGGACGCATCCTCACAGGGTGAAAGCAGAGCGCCAGGAAAACAGCTAAAAACACACCTAAAATGACCAATGTGTGTGCTGGGGGAGGGATCAATGTGTGTGCTGGGGGAGGGATCAATGTGTGTGCTGGGGGAGGGATACAGGGGAGGGATCAATGTGTGTGGTACAGACCCATCGGGTCTTCCCCTCCCCCTTCCGTACATTCACCAGAAAAGAACTCACCATTAGAGCTTGTATGGCCTCCCATTCCTGCGGAGACTGAATCTTATGAGCCAGAAGCCGTGTGGCCAGCTGAGGCCTGCAAGGGGCAAACAGAGATTAAAGGGGAGCTTCGCCTACCTATTATTACAGAGCTGCTACATAGTGATCCGATATAAAAAGGGGAACTTCACCTCCATATTACAGGGCTGCCACATACGGATCTGATATCATAAATGGGAGCTCCGCCTACATAATATTACAGGGCTGCCACATAATGATCATATATTATAAAGGGGAACTACGCCTACATATTACAGGGCTGCCACATAGTGATCTTATAGCATAAATGGGAGCTCCGCCTAAATATTACAGGGCTGCCACATACTGATCATATATTATAAATGCATTATAATGCATATATTATGCATATATTAAAAAAGATCTCCGCCTAGCTATAATAACAGAGATAATATTTGGGGGTCGCACCCCTCCAAGTCACAGTTGAGTTGATGACAAAACGTCTCCACATCTTCCCAACTCGGCTCCTTGTTCTGGGGGTTTGTAGCTCGATCTGTACGAAGAAAGACAGACGATCAATCCCTGAAATCCATCCCCTCCCCCACACAGATCAGCCCCCCCCCTCACACA